TTTCCATCGGGACGACATCTTCTTTACTTTCATCAGAACTCATTTCTGTCACTGCAACTTCATCAGTTGAAGTCACTACAGCCTCACTTTTTTCATACTCTTCATCAAGATTAATATTGTTCTTTTCCATCGGGACGACATCTTCTTTACTCTCAACAGAAATGATTCCTGTTATTGTAACTTCGTCAGTTGAAGTCGCTGCAGCCTCATTTTCTTCATAATCTTTGTCAAGGATGACATCTTCTTCGCTTTCTTCTGATCTTGATTCCGTCTTCACTTCAACGGAATCTGTATTAGGGACAGTTGAAGTAACTGCATCCCCACCTTCTGCATGAAGGCTTTCTCTTGCTACCGGAATAGCCCCTTCTTCTTCTGGGAGATTCTCACTTGCGTCAATACAGGTTTTTTCCTCGACTTCACCTTCAAGCACACCTGCTGCTGTGATCTCAACACAACTGTCGCTTAACAGAACAGTATCTTGGTCGAAGTTGGATGGAATTTCACCTTCCCTTTTATCATGGGCGCTCCCATGTTTCATCGGGCAAACGTCTTCACTGATGTCACCTAAATGAGTTTCTATCACAGATTCTTCGGCTTTACCCCGCTTTAACATATCGAGATTAGATAGCTCTTCATTTTCGGTCGCCGCATGAAGTTTTTCTTGCTCGTGAATAGAATCTTCTTTACTTTTCTTCATACTCCTCAAGCCATTATCAATCCTTTCCAGATATTCTTCGTATTCTTCCGCAGGGAATTCGAGGTCGAGGTCCGTCGCATTTTCATCATCAGAGTCATCAAAAAGAAGATCTTCTGGTTTATCTACTTCACTCCGTGAATTGTTATCTTCTTCAAAGTTACTTGGCTCCTGATAACAATTAAAATTATGGAAAAAAATCAGTCGAGCAAAGTGAAAAAGCAGGGTATCTGAAAAACAGGCTCTCCACCAAACCTGCCACCTCCCAAACAACTGAACGACCGCGAGCTGAGAGCTGCCGAACAACCGCAGCAGCAGCATTAACTAGCAACGATCAAATAAACCTACTAAACTACTATAGCAGTACGCAGATCGATGCTTTAACGGTATACAGCTATTTCTAAAAAGGCTGATGACGGTCTTGCTCGGCATGTTGCATAACAAGCATGAAGTGCACTACGAGTGATGTTGAACGCAATCAGCAAAGGATCACAGCGATATGGAATTTTAACAAACCTTGTCTGCACGTTTCTCCGGTACATTTCTCGTGCTGACGTTATTTAAATATGCATGAATATAATACATTTCAACCTTGGTAAAGAGCTCGGGGGTAAAGAGCATGCAACATGTCACAAAACCTTCGCCAACCCTTTTTGAAATAGCTGTATGTGAGTCGGTTAAGATTTTTTGTAGTCATACGTTGATTACTCAATTCATTTGAAAGCTCTCGTTATATTTAAGTTTAGAGAGCGTTGCCTTAGTCGTAGTCGTTCTCGATTTTACAGCTTTTCACGGATTGTTCTGTTTACTACGCGGGCGGTTGCATCCGATGCCGCTTAAAGGCGCGATGCACGGAGCATTTTCTCTGCAACTTGTTGTCTCGCAAAAAGTTGCAAGAGTGTTTACACGGTGCGACGGAGACGCAAAGAAAGGAAATTAGAAATGAATTATACTTTACGCAACGATTGCTGCAAACTTATCTCGCAATGTCTTTTTTAATTGCACTGTAGACGCTGCAATGACCATGCAACTTGTGTTGCAACGAAGTTGCGAGTCAAGTTTCAGAGAAAATTTCACCCGCGTCAGAACAGTTTTTCGCCCTACTAAAAAAAATTATTGCACGAAGAAATAAAAAGCTAGACCACCGTTTTTTAAACAGGACCACTGTTCAAATGGTGGCTAGCTACGGCCCTCATCAGCCAAGTGATTTTACAGATGTAAAAATGAATACTCGGATCGATATTACACCCGATAAAATGCTACGACATTTTAGCTACATAGCTCACGTCAAGTAAGTGCCAATCAGCTTCTCTTTAGACTGACAGTCTTATAAGTAATGCAGGCCAAAATGTTAAAGTTCTAACCTGTTTGGATGAGCTTTGCGATGATGCCGGCCAGTTTGAATACAATATATAGAACACAACGATGGCAGTGGCCAGTAGAGCAAGGATGATGGTGAAATCATCTAACATTGGCTCCTCATCTAGGTCTAGATCTGACTCATCATGAGCATCATCCATGATGATGAGGTTCAATTGAACTGGTGATCTTCAGTTAGGCTCACATGTTGTAAGCGTCAATCATGCCGCAGTGATCGAAAAGTATAACATGACGACAGCTCTCGGTTCAAATCTGTCAGCCATGACGTCATAATTCTCGAATCCAATCAAGGGTCTCTGATTAGTGCATTACGTCATAATGAGGTCACGGCTTATTTTTCTGTTTGAACGTATGTTCCAGCCTTTAAATGATATTGGTAGAGGTAAGTCATAACATTGGAAGGCAGTTTTATCTGACCTAGTTTCTCTTGTGAAACATTGTTATAACGTTATTCTTCTAAATAACAAATTTACTGAGCTAAAGAAAAATTAAACGTTAAAAAATGCGCGCGCTTTTAGGTTTTACCCATGATGCATTGAGGGATCAGTAAGAAACACATAACACACTCCCGCTTCACTTCATAAATATGCTTTGTCACGCACGAGTTTCAATGTGAGGCTTCGTGCATAATGCTCAGTAATTCGTGACAGGAGAAAAGATGTACTTAAATTTAGCACACGTAGCCTCGTACTGAAATGCAAAACACAAAGAAAGGATATTATTATTTTCAAGAGATTAAAAAGTAAGAATATTGAAAAAACAGAAGTTTCTTTACGAGCTGGAAATATCTTTAGCAAGCAACATTATGTTGGCATTAGGGTTTCATTAGGATGTTGGACCAGATTGCCCATCAATACTTTATATCTCTCTCAATAAGGGTTACATCAATAATTTAACATTAAGGACCTATATCTTTAATGTTTAATAAACATTATAGTAACATGAACTAGACAACTATATAACAACTTAATGCAACTACTGAAAGACAACAGAAAGATTATTTGCATAAAGATCATGGCAGATTAGAGCTATAACAATAAGTTTCATTGCAAGTTAAAGTGTGCTGTTTGGTAGCACTCATAAATAACGAGTCACTTTCTAAATAACCTCTTTAGGAACAAGAGTATGGATGCCCAATCATTTGTGAAAGTTTAGCTGAAGGAGTTGTCAAATATTTTCGGAATGTAATTTTGAGTTTTCACTTATTCATTTACTCATTCTTTCTTTCAATTTTGCTTTCTCGTTCTCAAACACTAGAAATACAGAAACTCGTTTTCAAAGACCTCAAATTATTTTCAATATTTTGAATGCTTTCTTCTTTGAAGCAATAACTCCTATGCAACAAAAACCAAAGATTATCAATAAATGAAGTGATATCACAAGAGTGTAAAATAATCTCTTTAATTTTGTAAACCAAGCTACCAAAAATCACTTCTATAAGATGGGATATCATTTAAGGTATAGACCCCTTGCACGGAGTCCCTAGAGGAATTGTTCTGGGGGACAAAACAATTTTTTTTTTGCATAAGAAAAGATGGCCTATTGTTTTTGCCCCCCTGAACAATTCCTCTAGGAATTACATGCAAGGGGTCCATAAAGCTATTTACTGATCTGTGACAACATTCCTAATTTTCTGTTCTTAGGAAAAGTTGTCCCATTGCAGGCTTTTAATATGACAATTAATATTTATATAAACATACATGAAATTGGTTACAAGAGACCAAAAGATTGGTGTTTGCATGCCTTCTTGTTTTGTTATTGTTGCTGTTATATGTTGTTGCTGCAGTTGTTACTTATTGTTGCTGTTGTTGCTGCTACTTTTGTGGTTGCTGTTGTGGCTGCTGCTGTGGTTTTTGCTGTCACTGATGTTGCTGTTGTTGCTGTTGTTACTTATTGTTGCTGTTGTTGCTGCTATTTTTGTGGTTGCTGTTGTTGCTTCTGCTGTTGTTACTTATTGTTACTGTTGTTGCTGCTGATTTTGTGGTTGCTGTTGTTGCTGCTGCTGTTGTTTTGGTTATCATTGTTGTTGCTGCTGCTGCTGTTATTTTGGCTATCATTGTTGTTGCTGCTGCTGCTGTTGTTTTTGCTGTCATTGTTGCTGCTGCTCCTGCATGGGCTGTTGCTGTTGTTGCTGCTGCTGATCCACCGTTGATGTGGGTTGTGTTGTATTGCTGCTCGTGTTGATACTTTTATTGTTGCTATTTTTAAGTTGGCACAAATGTGGTCTCCTTTCTAAGCCTTGACAATAACTTAAATGTTTTCCAGTATCTTCAGATAAATTTAACAACAAACCCTTGAGTTACCTAGAGCATATCTTAATTTAACTAGACTTGGTTTCAAAGTAAAATTAAGGTGAAGCAAGTTGACAAACGACATGCATGATTCCTCCTTCAATACTCCATTTTACAGTTCCATTGCAAGCTGAGGCTGGAGTTTCCTCGCATGATAAAAAGTATAGTTTTGCTATGCATGGAAACTGCAGCCTCGACTTGCAACTATTATTCATGGTCACTTGAACAGAACTGTAAAATGGAGTATTCACTTCACTTGCTTTACTACAAAAACTCTTTGTCAAGAACCAGTTTCTGTAGCATCCTAGAATCAACCATAAGTTGAAGATCTTATTGAAATAAAATATTCAGTGAGAGGGGAAGGGAGAAGGAAATTTGGATGATTTCAATTGGTGAAAACAATTCAAGCATTGGATCCATTTAGATTATTAAAAGAGAACTATTTTTTTGCTATGCTGCTATATAATATTATTAATATCTTAACAAAATAAATACTCTCTTTAAGAATCAGCATTTTCATTTTCACTTGACTCTTCGTCTGCTACTTTCTTAGCTGCTTTTTGGTCTAATCTTTGTTTGATGGCTTCAAGTCTTTTCCGTATACTTCCAAAGTCATACACTCCTCTTTTCTCCCCGAAGGGATCCTATGGAGGCAAATAAGTGGGTTTTTTAAAATATCTAGTTCATTTAGAACAGGCTATAGACTGGGGATCCTAGAGAGCCAGTCCTCCTCCTCCTATCGATGGTGGTTTAATTCATGCATATGTGTTATGGGGGAAAATGGAGGGAGGGATGGAATGTTCAGATTCATTGGGGAGAGGAGTGACCTGCCCATAGGAAAATTTGGATATGCCTGAGGAAGAGTAAGATTTTATGTCTAATACACGACTTTCAAAAATGGCCGCCAAACTCGGTTGGGACTAGGGACAATTGAATGGAAGCGAGGTAAGTAAGGCCTCATTAGTAAACAAAGTCTATTCAGTGCGATATTTAGTGTCAAAGTCACTCATCTCAATTCAAGTTCTTTAGCGTCTTTTGAAGTACATGTAATGACTTTTACCTGGCTTCCATTCAATTATTGTCCCTAGTCCTACATGTAACTGAGTTTGGGGGCCATTTTTGAAAGTCGTGTATGTTATTGTAAGTACTAGACTTGGCTATGCTAATGTGGTCACTGTGCCTCTTTAACTCTGTTGCCGTTAATTTGTTACATTTATTGGTACATTTAATTTTGGTGAAGTTAAAAACAAAATATGAAAACAATGGCTAGAAAGCATTGTTTTCCCATTTCCCTCGAATATGAATGAACTTGTTTTGAATGGGAATCAAACAAATAAGGATCTTTAATATTCTTAGGAGATTGACACATGGCCTGAAATGGAAAAACAGTGATTATGCCTATTGGGTGTAGCTATGCCACAATAATTTGAATGATCAAAAAGAACTTACTTGCATATTCTGTCCATTTAAATAAGACTTTTCATTTATTACAGACATATAATAGTCATAAAATTCTGGAAAAGACTTTTCCATAACATCCCTGGAAAAAGTAAAGAATTAAGTAAAGGTGGATCCAGCCAAAATTTTAGTGGGGGGGCTAATTGAGTTTAGGGGGCACTAATTGAGTTTCTTCTGTCAACACAACAGAAAACAATATAAAAAAGCATCTTTTTTTTTTCTGCTGAAGGGGGGCTTCAGCCTCCCTTTGCCCCCCCTGGATCCGCCCTTGACATTAGTAAGTAATATTACATTCTCTTCCCTGCATGATAAAGATGGTAGAGAACACAAGTCTAGAGACAGATACCTCAAAAACAAATGATGTGCTTTCAATCTACAAACAACCAATGACCAATAATTCAAGATCTTTCACAATCATTCTCCACTTTAGTTATTGAACTAACACTCCAAGGCTTAAATACTGATCAAGACCTCACTCACTACTATGAGCTGAGTTCCACTATGAGTTCCACCTCTTTCTCTTTCACTCCGTCGAAGGGCTAGTGTCCGAAACGTCATCTTTTCACGGTGTAAATTTTATCATTACTGAGTTCCACTAGCTCAGTTAGAGCTTCTGACTAGCAAACAGATGGTCACAGTTTGAATCCCACCTGGAGCTCAGATTTTTTTTCCAGGAAAAATTTGCTTGAAGAAACAGAATTCACATTTATCTTTAACCAATAACCTACCACCTATTCATAATAATTACTGTGGTTTTAGATATACATGTAGTATCAAATGACTTACTGGCTTACAAAAAAACCTATGAACATTCAAACAATAGCAAGAAAGAGTACTGTATATTGCACATACCTCAATGCTGCTGGACATTTCAGCTTGTCTTCCAACATATCTGATACAGCTACTCTTAGGGTTTCATGTTGTATGCACTCATTATATCGCTTACAATCACCAGCCTGCCTTTCCTATTAAACAAAAATGATTTTAAAAACATCTCAGCCATCCATGAATACATTTGCAGGAGGAACTGCATATCGTAGAGGTTTCAGGGCTTAAAATGGTGATTTGCCAGTCATACATGTAATGACTGGAAAAAATAGTTTTAGCTCGGCCATACTTCCTTCCTGGCTCAACATGGCGGGTCAAAATGACCAGTAAGACAAAAATTTGAATGGACAAGTTCCAATACTTCATTTTACAGTTCCGTTCGAGTGACCACGAATAATAGTTGCAAGTCGAGGCTGCAGTTTCTGTGCATAACAAAACTATACTTTTTAATATGCACGGAAACTCCAGCCTCGGGCTTGGAACGGAACTGTAAAACGGAGTATTCTTGCAAGACATTGTCTGATGACTGGCTGCTATTTTAAGCCCTGAAGTTTCCAAATTTTTCCTGATTCCATTTTTACTTTTCACTTTTCTCTAAACTGAGCTCCCATGAAGAGAACTTACCTGTTCAAAGCCAGGTTCATTGTGATAAGGGTTTTCATTCAGTAATGACTGAATTGATATAAGGACACTTGATAATGACTGTGCAGGACTCCATGCTGGACCCGACCAAGTACTATAAAGGAAAAAAATTATTATTATCATTTAAACTATACATATAATATGAATCCAACAAAAATAGGAATTATTGTTTGGCAAGGAAATGCATAAGATAAGTAATTTGGATTCCTAATGAACAATATTATGGTAAACACTGATGACACAAATTATTATTTTTAAATAACTTAGATTCACTTTGAATCATGGTTTTCTACGTTTCTCTCTTGTTCTCTCAGTGTCCCAAGTGTTTTGATCAGAGTATCAAACACAGAAAATCGTTAGAAACCTGTTACACATTTTTTCATTACAGTGCAACACGCAAAAGTATGACCACATAAGCTGGCGAAGTTGGCTGGTTTTACCAAATAAGGCATGCAAATGCTTGTTTTGCAGCAAAAATCCTTAGAGCATTGAAGTTATACATTGGTTATAATCTTACATGTTGTGCTGTAATACAAACTGTCTACAATAAGAAATGGTTTGCAGTGGTGTTTTATAGTATACTTACCCTATGATACTTAAGCAAACTTTACCATTCCTGTACAAGTTTGGATTAAACCTGACTTGTCCACCCCCTGTTGTCATTAATTTCACTCTGGGTGGTCTAATGGGGTAATCTGGTGGACAGCGAATCAGAAAGTAATAGAAACCACCTTCGTACGGAGTATCAAAGGGACCAGTTATCAAGGCATGAATCTGGTGGAACAATTAAACATTAGCAAGGTTTAATAATATCTACCTATTAGTATAAATTCACAGGTGATTATTGAAAATCTCATGCGCTGATTGGTCGAAAAACTCAGATTATCACACAATAATCACCTCCAGCGATAATCCAAAATCACGAGTTTCGGTTATTATTCCCTGATATTCACTTCCCCTTCGGCAAATTATTGTTAAATATTACAACCTAATACTCTGTCAACCTAACACCCTGTTCTTTTGGACTAACACCTTACTCACTGCATAGACCATATGAAAAAGGGTGTGTCCTTTGATATACCTTAGTTCATCAGTTATAGAGGATAACGACACTTCAATTAGAAAGAGTATATCAAAATTAGTGATCTTCCACAATTTCAGTGTCATAACATTAAATTATAAAAAAGCTACAGCTGTTTGAAATTAGAAAGGTTTATATCGAAACAACAACCAAGGGCCTACCAGCCTTGCTATCATGCTTTTGGTACATTTCAAATGCTTATAACTCTTTAGGGATTCAATATATGAAAACAGAACTTTCTGAAAGGATTAATTTAGACATGGTCTTTCTGGAAATGAAAATATATTTTTGAAATTACAAATTGTTCATGATGCTCGTTCCCAGTCTTACACTTGTTTTTCATATGGTCTATAGCACATTAATATTGATAATACACAGAACTTGTATCAATTCAAATATCAAGGACTGTGAATAAGCATCCTAAAAAGGGGAGAACTAATGTGAATAAGACTAAAAACGAATGATAAGACTTGAAAATTTGGAGAATGTTATAAATAAGCTGACAGAAGTATATAACCTACATGAATAACTTTAACTCTATTCACACTACTGTTATATACATGTAGTTTGCATTACTGTAAATTATGCACAATAGAAAATCAGTATTGATTATTGTACAATATAAGTTAAAATCATTATTACTAAATTACTATTGATACAACATATAATTTTTCCCCTTGATATTTTGCGTCATGAATGGATCTATTCAAGAACCACAATAATATATAAATGAATGGATATTTATTATAGTGTGTACATGTACCTACCTTGGTCATGTCATCTTTATCAGGTACGATACACATCCCAGGGGGTGGTTCATTATAGATACTCATTATGTCTCTGCAATTTAACAAAATTAACAATTATAAAATATTTGAGATATAAAGCTCGTGCTGATTGGCTGGTTACCATGTTTATATTAGAGAACAAAGACATGCTCGCACATGCTGACGATATGGCATTTTACTGTCCTGAGACCTCTGCCGCTGATTTACAAAGCAAGCTTAACTATGACCTTCAGGGTATATCTTCCTGGCTATATGAGCATAAGCTTACTCTTAATATTACTAAATCAAAATTCATGATCCTTGGCAGCCGGTTTAAGGTGAAGCATTTTCAGGATATGCAGCTAGTGGTGGATCAAGATAGTCTCGAGAACGTTACAGAGTTTAAATATCTTGGTATAATCATTAATCAACATCTCACATGGCATGATCACGTCGAGATGCTACACTCCAAGGTTGCACAGCACCTTGGGGTATTAAAACGTATTAGACACTTGTTACCCATCTATGCGAGGAAGCTTTTTGTCATGATGATGATAGTTCCCCTGCTGGACTATGCATCAATAATTGTCTGGGGTGATAAGAATAATAAGACCCTAATGAACTCGCTCCAGATACTCAACAATAAAGCAGCTAAATTAATACTCAACAGACCACCTTGGTCTTCTTCTTCTGAGGCCCTTAAAGAACTTAATTGGCAGGAATTATCTCAGCGAAGAAAATTTCAACGCTGTATATACATGTACAACCAAGTATCTGAAGATGTGTTAAACTTCCCCAAAGGCAAAGWCTTCCATGAGTACAACACACGTWACAAAGATCTATTGAGAACAGTTAAATCCAACACATACTGGGGCCTACAAACATCTCAGAATTCCTGCGTTCAAAGTTGGAACTCTTTACCTAATGACATTAAATTACTTTCGTCTTTAAGAAAATTTAAAAGAGCACTAAAATGTTCTTTTTTAATAAGAAGCTATTTTTTAGGTTATAATGTATATATTTACATATACTTTTATTTTTACTTTTTATTTATTYATCCATTATTAATTWATTAATTTATATATATTTTCTTTATTGTCTTTTACATATCGTTTTTTGATTTTACTTGTGTATTTCTTWATGCAGTTCCCTATTGTAAATCACTAATGTGACATACTTTCTTACTGTCGAAAGAAAGAAATATTATTATTATTATTATTAATCCTTCAAAAATATTTCATAAGAGCAGACAAGACAGCTGCTTATGTCTCTGTACTGCGATACAAACACTCTGGGAGCTGTAGAGCATGAGAGAAGCAAGAGAAACACTTGGCTATGCCTCGTGTTCCTAAGCTCGCTTCTCTTGGCTCTTAACAGCTCCCAGTGTGTTTATATCACAGCATAGAGACATGCGTTGCATTTTATATTCCTTAAATATAAAACAGTTTTCTATTTTAGATGCTTTAACACACAGGATGCTGCAAGAGAAGTATAGGAAACCACAACCCAAAGTATTTTAAAAAAAACTAAAACTGGGTAATACAGATATTCTATTTTATATCTTAAATATTGTGGGGTCTAACTTTAGCCAAAATAAAATATACTTGAAATATATACATGGATCAAAAATGCATAATAATTTTGTGAGGACAGCTGGGCCTAAGACTTCCTGCTCAAAATGTTCATAGATAACTAAATAAATAACAAATGTTGATTGGTGTACTTAATGTACTCCTATCTAAAAGATCTATTAAGCTATGGCTGTCGTATAACAATCACCAAAGATTGAATTAGAATTTAGAACTTCATTTTTAAGCAACGAGGCTAGGAAAACCACATAACCTGAAAAAAAAACCTTGAAGCACAGGAGAGAACCAACAACTCTACTCGCATACAAGATCAATTTAATGTTGAAATTTTCAATATTTCTTGTAGTTGATAAAGCCATCATAAAAACCATATTTGTGTTGGAATGACTCATTGGCTATTGCCTATGGGTTCATCAACCTTTTTTGAAATAGACCTCTTTAGGTTGGGAGTAATGTTTTTCAATTCCCGACTAGGTGTCTTTCCTAACGTATCCTTTCTTTGTTTTTAACAGTAACTGTTGTGCATGATCATGAGAAGGCACATGAATATTGGATACAACTCAAATAAAGAATCTTATTCTCAAGAGAATGACATGTGTATGGTCTGGAATGGGAAAACATTATGCACAAGCTAAAGAAGTCTACGGTTGTATAAGATTTGCCACAGAGAAAACATACACTATTTAAAAACTGTGTGCTTTCTCTAGCGCAAATTTTATATAACAATTTCAGGTTGAAAACATGATTTTGTTTTTATTTTCTTATTTGAAAAAATGTTTTGACTAAGTCTTCAATAAAGTTATTCTTTGATTGCACTTTACGTCATCGAGGCCATGTTGGTGCCATTTAACAAAAGATGTCTCATTAGCATCCATTGACATTAACAGTACCACAATGGCCGCCATGCTTTTGTCTTTTGACTCTCTTGGGAATGCTTGCAATCCATCAATTCGTTATATTGTTATTATTATTGACCTTGGAGTATTGACTCCTAACTTAATTAAACTGATCTCAAAATATTGGCGTGTCAAAAAAATTCAAAATAGCTTCGAGCTTTATATGAAAATGGGCTGGAACGAAATTTTGTTAGGAAATGAATGAAATTTCCAATGTTTTTTGCTTGTGTTTGTATTCTCCTTAAAAGACAATAAAGAGGAACCAATTAATATGTGTTTCCTAAGCTTATATTGATAAATAAAAACGCTGGAATATGGTATAAACAACCACGACTTTTTGTAAAAAAATATTAAGCTTAAAATTAAGATTTTTGGTGTTTGAAATCTTTGTAAATTAGAATTAATACAAGCTCGTATCTTGTCATATACGCATTATTGCATCATACACGCGGTTATAATAACAAAACCACCAAAGGATTTTAATCCTAAAAATGTTTTTTGGCAAAAACAAAGTTTTTAATCTCATATTCACAGTCTTGTCATTCTGGCTCAAGTACGGATACGTTTAAAATTATTCGGTATTCTGTAGAGGTTATTATTTCTTTGCTTTCTTCATATATCTTATTCTTATCCGGAAGAAGCTCACAAAAAAGAAAAAAGCAGCTTTTTATAAAAAGAGAAATAGAGCTTATAATAAATCAAGCTCACAAGTTCAAAATTCCTGTCCTTGTCCATCAACAATTTGTCTAAGAATGAAAATGTTAAAAAAAAACAGCCAACGTTGATTGGAATTGTCTTACCTTTTAATCCTTAAGATACATTGTGGTGTGACGGTTTCTTTATCCCAGTCTTTAGAGTGCAAAGGGTCCCACAAAGCATTTGATGTCGAGGAAAGAAAATCCGAATCTTCTTCCGCCATTTTGAACTTTTGCCCAAGATGAACATGCGCAATAACGATGAAGCCTCGTTATGGATACAGGAGCATCTGGAGGAAATATAAGAATGAATAAATGACAGATCAAAAATGTTAAAACGTTACGGATAGCTGATGTGATCGCATAAAAATTTAGATCAGAAAATATTCCCTTGATTAAGATGAGTACAAATGTAAAAATATATTGCAGCTGATAAAAAAAATATTTTTCAGTGATATTATTTTTGCTTGTTTAGGATAAAGCAAGCTAAGATTTCTTTCTTCGGCCAATATTTTCTATTTTTGTCGCAGTTTGAGTTGTGTTTACAATGAGATTTCATTAACAACTCGGGAAAGATAAAGTTTTATTGAAGCAGCTCTATCAGTCGACGGATCTTCACCCTGCTTGATTGCTGTTTTAAACAATTGAACTGATTTCTCTTGAACCTTTGATACACGGACTGCAGAAGGGTGGTACTCAAGGTATATACATCATGTGATTGTCATTCCGGGCCAGGGGGACCAGAGTTAGGGGCGAATCCAAGGGTAGAGAGGGGGGTGACTAGCCACCTCCCCTCTCTTTTGTGAAAACATTATCCGGATAAACTTTCACTCATTGAAGCTCTCAATTTATTTTTTGTCAACTTGAGACGCGCGTACTTCCCCCGCGTACTTAACAGCCCCCCCCCCTCCCCCCGTTTTAAAAATCTTTGATCCACCCTTGAATTTCTTGGTTCCATGTGCTATTGAACAAATAATGACGTGTTTTTCTTCTGTTTACTCATCTACGACTTTTAATATTTAAAGGTAATAACATACCATCCATACAATCAACATCCCAGTATTTGCTCTAACAAATTCCAAAATGTGCACGGAAAAAGCCGGGATAAGAAACTTCATAAGATGGACCGACAAGGAGATCTATTTAAAAAGCCATTTACCAAGACCTAAATGATAAAAACATAGAAATGCCGAATGCAACAAATTTATCTAAATCATTGATAATTTAGTTAAACGGGTTGCTAATAGCAACCATTATTAATGGCGACCAGGATTGATACAGTGATGACTTTTAAGTTTACCAATAATATCCCACAGTTTGCATTGGAGGTATTTTTTGATATTTTAATTAAATGAATTCGTTTAGATAAAGTGCACAAAGTTTTAACCAAAGTTATGAAACTTTGTATTTACCTCCAAAGCTAAGGAATTGAGGGGGCGATTTACTATGTCGTGACATGTTGACCTACTGAAAACCCTTAGCCAAGAAACAGCCAATCAGAAACGAAAAGAATGTTTCACATGGCTGCTTACTTGAGAGTACCAGAGTACTCGTCTGCAGTCAGTCTTCTTTGTTTCTTCTGCTTTCTTCTTTTTGAAATTGCACATTTTGGATCTTGAAGACATACTTCTTTATCAATACGGCACGCTTGGGGATAAGGGAAAAAATCATGTAGCTAGGGAATGATGTGTGCTATCGGGTTTGAAGTCATAAGGTAAGAGTAGTACTTTGATCAAAGCGGTTAGCAATTTGTTGACAAATTGCGCGCGATTTATAGTAAACTCAGTTATTATGATTTGTTACACTGCGAGAAAAACACCGGGGATCAAATATATTTTATTTTGATTCTCAGCTGAAGAAATAGAACTTTTCATAAATAAATAGATAGTTGAAGGTGTTCACTATGTAAATAATCAGCACTATACTGATTTGGAGTTAAAAGTATTAGGAATACTCAAAAAGTGCCCGAGTGCGCCTTGGTGAAGTTTTGAAATATAACTTATTCATCAACTTTATATTATACATTAGACTTTTAGAGCGAAAACAGTTTTTCCTTTAGATTAATATATTTTTGACTTTCTTACTATCACAAGTACCCGTAAGAAAGGAATGTCAACATAATATACAATAAGAATTAAGACCCTAAATGGCACGTTGCAATCACTATTACCATAAAATTAGGGATCAAAATGTATCCTAAAATTGGCTTAAAATATGTGCGTAGTTTCTGGGTGTTCCACGTTTTTAACATTCGCGCTCAACTTGTGAATATTGGCACGATAATTTGCAAGTAAATTTTCAAAACAATCTAACTTTGCTTAAGATAGGAATAAATGTTATTGTTGATTGTTTGGCTGATGTGGGTTTTTGTCATCGCTGTGGTGCATTATGAACACAATGCCTTATAAACTTCAAGAAAATATAAAAATTAAAAATTTACAGCTTTCTAGGGTTTGATCTGCTTTTGCTAACCGGCGCATGACAGCGTACCGGAGCGAAGGTTAATCGTTCGAATCCGTTTTCAGACGCAGCTGCATGTCAACTTTGAACAAAACTTTTCAAAAATGTCACACATTATTATGCTTCGAGAATCAGTATTCCTTACACTCTTTTGGAAAAATTATTTATTTGAAAATTATTTAAGTCAGAGAATATTCTTGAGCTACGCTTGAGAACTGCGTTCCACTTGAGCAAAAACATTAGTGTACTAGCTGACTTTGGCGCTCTCCCCATACTAAGAAGGCAAGCTCTATAAATATATCCTTAAATGAGAAACGAGGGAATTCATTTAGTAGTCCTGACGAACACAAATCAATACTTCAAAGTGAATTCAAGTTGATTTTTAATTGATTTTAGTTTAGATAATTGTGTATCGTGTGAGAAATTGCGCGCCAAAATCTAGTTAATAATCTACATAATGACAATAGCGTAATTCCCTCCATGAATTATTCGTATATCGGGTTAAAAATTGGTTTTATAAGTCAATTTTAAAAAGCGCATTTTGTGATACTTTAAGCTTACAAGTTAACAAACGGGTTCGATGAGAGTTTGCTGGGAATATTTCCTGGGTATTTTTATGATGATAATTCTTCAACAAACTTAGTTAGAGGCTAAAATAAGAATGCGGATTGAAACGCAATTTCTCCGGCATTCGACTTGAGCTAATAGTCTATGATTTTCAAAAGGTGTATTCTAACGCATTTATTCGCAAGCGGATGAGGAATCTAATAAGTTAAGGTAAAATCTGGGTAAAATCTTTCACTGCGAATGTCCTTCACTGATCACGAAACAATGGTGTAATATTTTTATATTTTTCGCTTAGGCCTATTGTTTGGTGCCCAATGGAGTCGATCGGTAAGATCTTTGCATGTTTTCTTCATCAGAGAAGAATAAGCGATTCTCTTCAGTAATTCTGGTCCAGCGACATGGGGGGAGGGGTAGGGGGCAAACCGTCCCCTCTCTAATACTCTTGCTTCGATAGTTTGTTTCTTATCTCCCTCGATGAGATAACAGAGTTCGAGGGTAAATGGTACTCTAAAACAAACGAAGAGATAAGAAGACTTATCGCTAAAGGAAACGTCCCCCTCCCCTCACTGGACATTTGTAGAAGTTCAATGTTGAATGCGTGGTGTGTTGGACTTCAATGAACAGCGAACACACCCCTGTACATTCGTTGTCAGTTTTAAGTTCACGTACCAATCAATCATTCCTTTTTTCTCATCGACCCTAATTCTATTGTTTTCTTTTGTGTCTATTTGACTATTACACGTTGACTAACATTTTTTATTTCACGGATTAAATGCCTTCACTCTATATATCATGACTGGATCCGAAGCGAGTGACTGTCAACTTGAGATTATTTTATTGTAATTACAATTTTAATAAGTTTTAGCGAAATTTGATGGCATTTGTCAGTTTAGAAGTTAAACGGAAGACTAACAAGTCTTCATCAAGTGCAACTAATCCAGCCCTTGATGTAACTGCGCGCTATACTGCGACATCCAATATTAACGGTAATCTTGTATTGATGGGGTGCAAGCATTCCCAAGAGAATTGAAAGACAAAAGCATGGCGGCCATTTTTCGTGCTGTTAATCGTGCAATCGAAGAATTGATATGCAGTCCAGGTTTTTGGTCCTTACTTGACTCATAACACGTGAAATACGAATTAAATGTCGTTTCTGCACTCGATAGAGCATCACAACACGTCACTGACGCAGATGTCCTCGCTGTCACGCAGCTTTTGCATGACAGACCATATGTAGCTGTACGTATTTCTGCTGGTGTTTATCTATTGTTTTTTCCTCTTTTTTTTCTTATTTTCTCTGTCCGCTGCTTTCTTTCTGCTCTTTTCTTTTACCGCTTCTTCTGTTTTCTAGCTGGCTGTTCTATATTGAATTCTCTGCTCTCTGCTGCTCTCTCTCCTCAGTACGTCTTTCCCTTTTCGATCTTTGCTTCAAACTGCCTTCTAAAGTTAAATTATTCTTCTCACATACAGTCATTGTCAAAAAGGTTGTCCTATGCATAAAAAATATCAGGTGGTGACTTGTCTATTCGTCTAAACGATATGTATTCTGGTTTTAAAATGTATAATAAGTAACAATAGCATGTCGATTTGAGAAGGCACAACCCCAAAAGGAGCGAAAACTACGACTTATGGAATCAGTCTATACACAAAGAATAGTAATTATGAACTGTAATGTTATTAGGGCTGTCCCAAGTTATTGCGTACGTATTTTTCAGCCTTCTCAGGCTACTAGTAATACTAATACTAAGGTATTGCTTTAGCATTCGTTGAAGACACGTTAGACTTATTTTGCAATAAAAGTAGCCAGTTGTATCTGTACAGTACTGAACCTGAAAGTACTCAAGAATTTAGAAAATAGATATAGGTAAATGGTAAAGCATACACTCTTCTTAAGTACAATTAATATTTTAATTTAGAAAATATTAATGCCAGCTGTTTAAATGGAAAAATGTTATATATCACTCGCAATGCATGGTGGGATAACCATGGATCCTCCTCTGGACTCTAGAGCCGATGAAGTCACTAAACCCGTGAGAATAATAAACATTACTGACTTTAACTCTATTGTTTTCTTTTGTGTGGATTTGACTATGGACGACGTTGACTAGTATTTTTTTTCATTTCAAGGATTAAATGTATTCATTCTAAATAAAAACTGTAACACAGTAACACTAGATTTTATTTTATGGATTTATTGTTTGAGCTCAGCTGAACTCTAAGAGTGGTGTTACTTAACCTGTGAAAGCTTATAAGAGGGCGTCTCTGTAACAGCGTGCCACTCGATCT